GATGTCTAATTACTGCAGACAGTCCCTAATTCCCTAATCATCTTTCCCACTTTCTTCCGGTTTTCCGATTCTCATCACGCCAAAGCCTAATTATCACACTGCGTACCTCAGTTTCAAACCACGTTCCCAACTATTATCGTCCTATATCCCAATTCTCCACAAAACAGCCCCTATTTCTCTCCTATTACCGAGTTCCAGCCTCAAATGGCGTAGTTTTCTACACATCTGCTTCAGTTCCTTACCAACTATCTAGTTTCCACCACTTCACGAATTAGGCGTCCAGAACTTTAGTTTACTAGCTCATTTCCTCTCCAGCGCCCATTTTTATCTAAGCCTGTCGTCAGGCCTCCTCACTCCACCATCCAGCATCTGCCTGCTCACACGCGTCGGACAGGTGGAAGACAGAGGTAGGAAATAAACAGAAGATGAATAAATGCCCAGAGGCAAATAGACGCATAGATATAAATGAATATTTGGGGAAATAAATAAGCAAGAAGTAGGTAAACAAATAAGGTCATCAAAGTAAGATATTTCTGCTAGCTGTGAGCTTTGCAGATGACTGGCTGCGGGGCGGGAATAGACTTGCATCGCGTCCCATGGTAGATTCTGGAAGACTCTCCTCACTTTATGTAGCCACCCCGCGATCATTCACCACCGCTTGATATGAAGAATGGGGGAATGACTGGTGCACCACAAATGCATCGTATGTGTCGATTTGGACGTCAAAGGGATCCATAATAAGATCAGTCAATATGAGGACCAAGGGGTTGGGGCGTAGGTTGGGGAAGGGGAAACAAACTGAACATTTGTGCCCAAACCTGAAGCGGAGGCTTGTCGGCAGCACTGCCACTAATTTAAAGGATGTACTAAAAAAGACCGCCTACAGCCAAAAGGGGCCTGAGCACATTATTCCGATGACATCTCTACAATCACCATACTTCCGCCTCAAGAACAGCAGACCAGCTTTCATATGTTGCATATATATTGAGCATTTATCAACTCCTCCGTCAGTTTTCAAAATTCATTTCGAGAATGAATCGTAGAAGACCTTTCAATGGATAGTAATGGCATCACTTTCAATAAAGCCTCTACAATCCCTCGCCATTAGTGCTTGAATTGTAACCTTCAAGCACGAAATACTGAAGACAAGCTTCATGAGGTGGCGCAAAATAGCCTGTTGTAAAGAATCAAAACTCGTTTAAACCAATCCTCTAATGATGCAGTGGACGACATGTAAGGGGATTTCGAAGCACAGCACCTAAAAGGCCGAGGTTCCGAATTAGGCTAGAGAAACAACATCCAGTCAAACAGTTGCGAAGCCGAAGTTTCAAATATTGCGGGGCGGACTCAACACTTCCCATTAAATGAATTCAAGACAATCTGTTTGAGCATATTCGACGAGTCACCAGTGGTAATGAGGTCAAGTAAACGAATCATTCAGAGAAAAGAAGCAGAGCTCTAGTGAAACCCTGCCAAAAAAGTCAAAGGCGACACTCAATATGGCATCCGCAGAAACAGTTTAATACATTCGCAGCAAAGGTACATTTGACAGGGCATTTGATCACGACACCCCAGCCATTGTATTTACAATGATGACACCAATTCCTACTCAGAAACCGGAAAATATAATTATGGATTTCACCATTTAAACATAAACAATCTACGCAATCCATGAGTTGATTTGACCCCAGTTACAAGTTTCTAGGCTATACGTCACATCTACATGATGCGACAATCAAGTGGCTAAGACAAGAAGCGTGGAAGCAGCTTCATGGAGGAACAGCTTTGTTGAAAACGAGGGCCAAGACGGCAAAATAATAAACACTCACCTAGAAGTAACAAAGTTTTGGTTCCGAAGACCAGGCAACACCTAGTAAATGATCACCGGAAAAACGACGCGGACACCACTTCTTGCTGACGGTGCATTCGTCCTGGGGTAGTTCGAAGCCACCCGGCAGACCAGTTGCAAAATTTCTGGGTCCGACAAGTTCAACCACTTACTGAGGACCAGAACATATTGCCAAACATCACTTTCCCGAAAGCAAAGCTAATAAAGTAGGCCCTCTCAATGCATGAATGTACCACAAGGGCATCATTAAAAATGCAAGAATATGTAAAACAGACAAGGATTAAACCCTAGCGAAAGTCACATCTTAAACGCCTTTTTGAGTCTGTGCTTTATAAATATTGAACGCCCAATTCAGATAACATGCAGGTCTCAGTCGCAACAACCAAGAATGAGTGTGTCAATGGTGGCCCTCAACAGGGCCGTGGGATGCGTTCACTCACTGGCGGACAATGTTGAGTAGTGGGGTGGAGTGGAGTGAAGTATTGGGACGGAGTGCGACAAAGCGGCAACGGCAGCGACCGTGACAC